TGAAGCACCATTTCTTCTAGACATTTGAAATCTATTACCGATTAATTAGATTAGATGATGCATATCACACACATTTGTATGAAAAAGGCAAAAGGAAAGCTACTCAGCAATCGCCTTTGATCGCGCGCACTTCAAACATCTATTGCACTCTTTGGCATTTTGTCGATCAAGTCAGATTCTTAATTAACAACAAAATTTGTATACTTTAATATGGACCAAGCATAAATATTTAACACAATTGTTTACACACACAAACATCAAGCTTAACTCTGACACTGCACACACTCATATATCATGGCAAAGAAAATGAAAACAAAAAAAAAATTGAAAATTTCACAAAAAAAAAAACAAAAAAAAAATGAAAAACTAAGAAAGTATTTCAACTAAATTTAAAGGCATCATCCTAAACGTCTCAAATCATAATCCACAAAATATACAACTAATACACAAAGTACACAGAACATCTCATCCACAATGGTAACAATAATTAGTAAATTAAGTGTATTTAATTAATTAACAATTGCATATGTGAATGTCTGAATAATACAATTACCAACATACGAATAAATTATTAGTGGAATATTAGCAAACAGGCATTTGATGAAAGCGGATACCAGATTTTGGACAATTTTACAGATACCAACCAAAATAAATTTGTCTCGCTAATTAATCGGTTTAATTATAATTAATAGTACGCTTTCACATTAAATATTAATAATAATCATCATATGTGCTCTGTGTAAATGTCTAAAACTAATTCAACACACTTTTGCACATGGTTAACTTTAAAATGTGGTTAAAAATTGCCGCGAATTTATGGTCTATCTATGTAGTATTTCGATAAAGCTCAAGTTAAATGGCCTTTCAATTTCTGCTCTATTTAATAGATCTTATATTTTTATTAGTTAATTGACTCAAATGTCTTGTACAAATCACTGAAATTAGTTTATTTTGGTTGTTTCTGAAAATTATGCGCTAACTTGAAAATGCGATAACTTAAAACTATAAAACTATGTCTAACTGTGCTATTAAATGTAAGCTTACTTGATATATATATATATATATATATATAGATGAAATAACCGTATTAGAGCTAAACGATGCAAATACTAATATTTTAAAATACATCCTAACATTCTAACTGTTCGTTTCTGTTTCCACTAGCTTTCACGATAACGCTTAATCAAACTTACACAAATCGACCTTTCATAGCTTACCTAAAACTAAACTCTACAATTCAACCAAAAATTTCAAGAATTTCACGTTTTAGTTTACTAAAATGCGCTCTAAAAAACTAAAAAACCAAAAAAAAAAAAAAAAAGAAAGATATACTAAATAAATTATACAACTAACAATATACAAGTATATAATAAATTAAACCATTATAAGTATTTAATGTGTATCACCAAATAATTAACAAAAAGCAGAAAACAAATATTTACTAATAAAACTAAATTTATGTAGTACAAAACAAATGTAGCTTTTTGGATGGTTGGAAAGCATTATACTAGGATATTTTGAAAGCTAATGAAATTGTTTAATTCCAGCTTGTTAAAAGTAGGTCATCTTCAGCCAATCAATATTCGTCAACAGCACGAACCCAAAATCGGGCCGTGTTCCGTTTTTTGTAAGCCATTTTTACTTTTTCCCATCTAAATTATAAATTTTCAATTAATCCATTTATTTTAATTTTATTGGTGATAATATTGTGATTAAATATTGCGAATTACCTCCAAGACGACTTGATTAGGACATTTAGGTAAGATTTACAATATCTTGTATTTCCATTATTGATTGATTGTGGTCAACAATTTCATCCCAACAGGTACAACATATATTTAGATGACCAAACGGCGCAAACCAAACCCAAGTGCCTGGAAAACAGGAGGATAGATACCTTTAACGTAGACTGGAATAGCGCCACATCAGGTTGCACCCTGTGATATAAGGCAAGAGTATAAGCTTAAATAATTTCTGTACATATTACATACCCAATATTTTCAGATAGTTTTGGAGTGTCGGATGTTTTGAAGCAGCTTAAACTGAGCGCATTTGTTGCATGCTTTGCAATTACGCCGATTATTGGCCCTTTCTCTCCCGCCTGCGATAAACAAGAATCTGATGTAGATTAGGCCACGGACTGTGGACTAAGTTGGGCCTCCTGCGTGGACGACCTGCAGATTGCTGATAGCCAGGGAAGTTACATTGTAAGTTTGTAGTTTGTAGTTTGCATTCGTGCGGACTTGTATTAAAAGTGCTGCTATTTGGCCAAAGGACATTTTCATCTTTATCATAAGTCAGAAAAATTGGGCCTAAATACAAAATCGGGCTTCTCATTATGACTTCATGAACTATGCTGTTGTCCGATCCAGACGAATCCTGTCCTAAACAGCACGTTCCAACTGGCTGGAAGGCAACCAAATCGTCCTTGTGGTTTCCGCATATGATTTTTTTTTATGAAACACAAAATCAGACAAAATTTGGTCATTTCAAATAAAATCATTATGTCCTTTGGCCAATAGAAAGTCTATATTCCTATAATATGAAAATACAGCGAAAAGGACGAAAGTCCTTTAAATGGCTGAGAAAAGTAGATTTAGTTCGTACAAAAAGTAAGCGAAAGCTCGGAGTCCTGTGCAAAGCATATCAAAATCGTCCTTGTGGCTTTCAAGATATGGCTTTATATATAAAAAGGACATTCATACCGAACCGGCCGTAAATTGAACAATTTAAGCACAATCCCGTAGTCCTTTGGGCTGCATACAGTCCTTGCCTTACCAGCTTAGAATATGCAATAAGAAGGACGAAAATCCTTTAAGGAGCTGATTAAACGAGATTCTTGCCTGTAAAGAAAGCGAGCTGTAGATCGGCCATATCCTTGCGGATCGTGATGTCCTTTGGTCAACCGATAGTCCTCGTCCTCCCGATTTAGAACATACAATAAAAAGGACGAAAGTCCTTCAGACTGCCTAGATATGACTACAATTCCTTTGTAAATTAACAAAGCCATAACTCAGCCGTATCCTTGCATATCCTGACAGGACCTGTGTCAAACAAATTGTATGAACAAGGACTATAAACTGGCCAAAGGACATCAAAATCGTCCTAGTCGTTTTCTGGATATGCGCAATTTTCGAAAAAGGACATTTTTTAAATAGCCATAACTCGGCCAAATCCTTAAGGATATCGGAAGGATATACCGTTTTGAACTCGTGGGAAGCGAGACTATCGATTGGCATTCAAGGATTTCTAGAATTCGACAAAAAATTTCATCGAAATTTATCCTAGGGGGTTAGTCGCAAAATTGGCCAAAATCGAAAAATTCCAGACTAACTTTGCCATTTGAAGGACTATCGGGTTGTCCTTTGGCCAATAAATAGTCCTCACCCTCCCATTAAAGAATTTACAACCCAAAGGACGAAAGTCCTTCAGGCAAAAAAGTTTTAAGGACAATTTTGTAAACAAAAAATAGGCTATAACTTGGCCGTATCCTTGCGTATCCTGACGAGTCATATGTCAAAATAATTGTATTAAATAGGACTACCGCCTGGCCAAATTTCATTAGGATCGTCCTTGTAGTTTGGGAGATATTCAAGGATATGTGTTTTCAGGCCATTTCCGGGCGCTCCGCGACTGAAATTTTACAAGTGAAAATACAAGTCCTATGATTCTTAGATGACCCCATATTTTTTTGATGCAGATCGATGCAGTGGGTCTATACGATCCTAACGCACCATGTCCTTTGAAAATCTGCAAGGATATGACCGAGTTATGTCCTTTTTTCTATACATAAAATGCTTCTATATAATTTTTGCCTTGTTTAATTTGAATGTGTTTTTATCTTTTCAGATTGACAAATTAAGGACCACAATTAATTTCAAGGACCTTCACGACTAACAAAGCAATTTTTTCCAGGATCGGACTTTAATTAGGCCAGATATAGCTATTTTACGTTCAAATAAGCTACAATTCTAATTTATGCTCGTTTTTTTATCATTTTAAGACAAATAATTAAGAAAATTAGAATAAAAACAACAATTTTATAAATTTAAACATGAATAAATCAATTATTTCAAATTATATCCTGTTTTTTTTATTTAAAAATTCAAAAATCAACGGTCTTTTGCATACCCGTGAGGGGGTCTATTGGCAACCGCTGGCTGCCGAGAATTTTCTTAAAATCTGCCAAAGTACCAGGCGAACAGAAATGCCCAGAAGGTCGATGAGTTTTTCGAATAAAAATTTTCGTTGCATAGCCTTAAGGGGCAGAAATGTAACTCAAATAATATGAGTACTGTTAAGTTACAGATCCTGTAAAATGAGTGCTGTAAGGTGGCTGTTAAACAACAGCTGCAGCTGCTGCTAATGTAAAAGGGCTCCTGAAAGAAAACGCATGCATGTTTTTGGACCATTTCTGATCCTTTAGGTTTCCAAGGACTATATCGATGGTATGGTATAACCAAGGATATGCTAGTCAACAAGAAACCATACAGGGGGCTGGGCTCATGCTCGGGGCGGCTGTAGAAAGTAGCATACATATTTTTGGACCATGTTCTTGCGCTTTTTGCGAGAGCTTTGTCCTTTAGGTTCGCTAGGACTATATCCTTGATATCGAATAGCCAAGGATATATAGGTCGACTAGGCACCATGAAGAGCGATGTCAAATATTGCTGAAAAATACAAAAAAAAAATAAATTTAAAATACATCCAATTTTTAAAAATTATACATTTAAGATTTAAGTGTTGAAAATCGGCGAAGCACTACAAATTTTGATTTTTTAGACCCGCTCGGAAATATGACATCAGAAAACGACATAATTCCGGCGATTATGTCGTTTTACGGCGATATAAGTAGCTCCGCCGCTCTAAAGACGACATATTTCCGCGCGGAAACTTTTTGGATTATGCATATGTGTGTCTGCTCTTAATAGCTCAAAACAAGACATTTACAATTTCTGTACACCGATTTGTATATATACATATTTAAATATTGTATTAAATAAAAATGAAATTAATGTTTTGGTCTGTCCGAATTCACTTTCCATTGCTAACATAAAAAAAGCTTAAGAGACTATCACTCACAATAACAGACCATATTACTTTATGCGGCCACATTAACTCAGAATAAAGTCGCGCAGGTCCACAGCGCTCAAAAAAAAAAAACGGCGCTCAGAACATCAATTATTGAGTGGACCAATCAGCGATCAGCACCGAAAATTATCAGGAGCGCGTGAGCGCTGGCGGATAAATGACAGCGAACACCCACACAAACAGGTGGCTGCTTATCTCTCCCTTTGGCTCATCTTTGGCTCGTACACGTGTTTGTGTGGGTGTGTATGCCAAGCCGTGTGGCGCAGCGCTCACACTCTGATTTCGATCGCTTGCTTATTTTCTGGGCGCCGGTCCGTTTAAGTCACTCGATCAACAATCAAATTAAAGTTAACATTTTTCCGATAGGGTATTATAGATATTTAATTTAGCTTATTTAATAGCTGCCTTCTTAGGAATTTGATTTAATAAAAACGTAGAATTTTACCTCCGGTTACAGTTTTTGTACTCAGATGAGGCTAAAAAATACAAAATTAACAATTTATTAATTTTTAAAATCAAAAATATATTAATTAAATACCTTCTATTAATTTTAATTTCAGAACCAATCCAGATTTAGCTTAGCAGATTTTGCTGAAAGACAGAGAATGAAAAATGAGTTAGTTTTTGTAAAATATAAAATATCGGTTAAATTAGGTTGGACTTTGAAAAGACATACCTTTTAGAATTCGGGCAAGCCTTTAAATCTTTCAGAGCCGACCCAGATTCGTAATAATTCTGATTAACCATTGTCTTTTGGTTAAAACATAAAGTTAGATTTGGTTAAAGGTATATCCATTGAATGCAATTATCAAGGTTATCTGTATATGAATGGGCTTGAATGTTTTCTTGACCTGGGAGGCATGTCTGTACAATAAAATAAAATAAAATTAATTAGAATTTTGTAGTTTTTAAATGATTCTAGTTCGGGCTTATTACCTCATGGGAGACCTGAAAGCCTGCCCAATCAATCGAACGCTAAAATTTGTGTATTTCACAGCCGACTAAAATTTGGCAACCACCTTGACGTAAAAAGGCAATTTTTTACATGTCAATTGATACTCCCGATAGGTTCGACTCCATAAGCGAGTTTTATTACAGCTCCAGACGAAATTAGCTCGAGAATTTTCACGTATCAAATCACGCGAATTCTGGCATAAGTTAAAACAAAATTATGTTGCGCAGACGCAATGTGGACGAATTATCTACTTATGCATCGCAGCCACAAACACGTATAACAAAATAATAAGTAGCTCAACAGATTGACTGATGGGGCCACACTAACTCAGAATAAAGTTGCGCAGGTCCACCACAGCGCACAAAAGAACGGCGCTCAGAAAATAGAGCACGCAAACGAGCAGACGAGAACATCAATTGTTGATTGGACCAATCAGCGATCAGCACCGAAAATTATCAGGAGCGCGTGAGCGCAGGCAGATAAATTACAGCGAACACCCACACAAACAGGTGGCTGCTTATCTCTCCCTTTGGCTCATCTTTGGCTCGTACACGTGTTTGTGTGGGTGTGTATGCTAAGCCGTGTGGCGCAGCGCTCACACTCTGATTTTGATCGCTTGCTTATTTTCTGGGCGCCGGTTTCGTCTGCTCAAGTCACTCACAATTCAACAATCAACTTGAAGTCAATATGTACACTTTTCTATTAGGCAATGTCGACTCGGGGGAGTCTGAAAGGTTAAGTTTTAGGAGCGGATATGCATATGCTATTTAGCTGATTTAATAGTTTCCTTCACAAAAGTGTAACTAAATATGACGAAAGCAGTTATCGCCGAATAATTAAGTAAACGTGGAGTTTTACCTACAATCATCAGAGAATCAATTTCAGCAGCTCTCTTAACGGAATTTTTATTTTCATAACTAAAAGGCGATGTGATTGTCGAGTGCTACAGTTATTGTGCATATACATACATATTGATATTTTCGCATTGCCCAATACATACAAACAAACATATATGCATACTTTTTTCTCCGCATACAGAGCAAGCAAATGATCACCAGACAAAATTCATTTTTGGAGCGATAAGCAACAACAATAATTCACGCGAGAGCCATTCTACGGTAAACACCGCAGAGCTATTGCACAGAAGCATAAGTAGATATAAATTGTGAGAACACACACGTGCATATGTATGCTATATGTACGTATGTATGTAGGCGGAGAGAATCGGCAAATGTGCGCGTACGTGTGTTTGTATATATGTGTGCTAGTGTATTTTATTCTTATTCAACGGGCTTTTATGAAATGCACAATTAATTATTTTTTGAAGACTTTGAATGGCTTTATAAGGGTTATTTAACTGCGACTTTAAATAAGGGCAAGCTTTTTTGGGATTTGTAAGTCTTTAAAATCGACCGCAGTATCAACATTTGGATTCCATTTTTGTTAAGCTCTAGAATACGAGTTTTTTTAAATGTATATTAATACACACGGTCTGCACGAATCCGAAAACGTATAGCACTAGAAACACGGACGGTATTTACCCGAGAAAAGTCAATATTAATATTTTTAATCAGCTTCACTCGACTGCTGCAATTCAACTAAAACAGAATTACGTTGCGCAGAAGCAGAGTGAGAAGAGATCATCGCACAGAGATAAACTCGAGTGAGCGCGATTCAAAGATAGATAACTTACATGCAATCACACACATGCAAAATGCAGAGGCATTCGTCAAAAATGTGCAAGAGTGTGTGTATATGTGTGCTTGTGCATTATCTACATGCAGACATTTTCGTCGCGCTCTCCCGAATTTTTGTGAGCAGTAACAAGACTTGCTCAAACTGTGCCCTTTTTCATCCCCTCCTCATCAAGCTTAGTTTTGTGTAAACACACATACACACCCACACACATGTACAGGCAGAAGCAGCGCGAAATATGTATGTATGCATGTATGTGACTTGCACATGCGCTTATCGCTTTAAATAGTCAATTGTACATTAACACAGGGCGAAAATTCTGCACATCCGCAAATTGAATGTTGCTTGTTGTTACGCAAAGGAGCCAGATTTCAGATAAGAATAACAATAAATCTATAATACTTTCATTTTGTTATTATAAAATTGAGCAAGCAAACGATTCCAAGATGAGCTCGGACTCAATCAATGTCTGATTGCATTCCATGCATTCTAGGTAGATGAAACATCATTGAACACACACACAAACATGCAGAAGGAGACAGTTGATATGTTTGTATGTACATACGTATGTAGGTATGCATTGAGCTCACGAACTTTTGATGCTGCTTCCACAAACTTTAATTATTGTCATAATAATGTCAATTGATAATCTCTATTCCATATACATACATATGTATCATTCGGACGATAATTTCTTTAAAGCTCCACAAATTATATATTTTAAGACCGACAACATGTAAATGCGAAAACAAAGTGGACAAAAATCGGGGCTCAGCAAATTGAGAAAGAAGCCCAAAAGCTCGAATGAGCGCCATTCAAATGTAGATAACGCATAGGCAAGCACACACCACCATAAATATATATCACTTAAGAAAACACACACACAAACATCTGTATGCAAAGATAATCGCCAAATATGTACATGTGCATGTATATATGACTGCTAAGCATGCTGCTAATATGCTCATGGCATATTGACTTTTGGGGCCACACTAACTCAGAATAAAGTTGCGCAGGTCCACCACAGCGCACAAAAGAACGGCGCTCAGAAAATAGAGAACATCAATTATTGAGTGGACCAATCAGCGATCAGCACCGAAATTTATCAGGAGCGCGTGAGCGCAGGCGGATAAATGACAGCGAACACCCACACAAACAGGTGGCTGCTTATCTCTCCCTTTGGCTCATCTTTGGTTCGTACACGTGTTTGTGTGGGTGTGTATGCCAAGCAGTGTGGCGCAGCGCTCACACTCTGATTTCGATCGCTTGCTTATTTTCTGGGCGCCGGTCCGTTTAAGTCACTCACGATTTAACATTCCAAGCCACTCAGAATTTAACAGTCCATTTAAAGTCAATTTTAACATGCTTTTATTGGAAGCTGCTGATTAGTCTGTAAAGGGTATGTTAAGTTGCGGCTTTTGTATATTTTATAAGGCTTAACTAATATTTGCCTTTTTAGGAATTTTCTTAATTAAAAAAATAAGTATTTTACCTCCGATCGATTATCAGACGCACAATTCCAGCAGCTATTAATGGTGTCTTGTTTGCACAACTAAAAGGCGATATGTATTGAAAAATGCTCAAAATATATATCAAAGTTGGCCAAAAGATTGTTGACTTTTTAGTAATATTATTAGAAATATTATTTGTGTTGTGTGATTTAGTTTTTATACATCTTTTCATATTTCACATTTTTCATATATATCGTTTTTTGTTTTTGCGTATAAGATGTTGGAAGAGGAGGATGATGTCAAGAAGGATTCACGTTACAGCTATATAGACACAAAACCAATCTACAGCAGCGACGTTTTAACCGGCAACTGGTTCCAGATGCGTTATGTCGATTCTCCACAGAGCAGCACTGCCATAGTGCCGTGCATCTTGGACGAGTGCGTGAAGCAAAAGGGATGTGAGCGGCATGTGTCAACTAGCCAGGAGGCCTATTCAGTGGAGGGCTTAGAGCAAAAGGACGCGTCACGCACTTACATCGAGTCGAGGTTGAAAAAATACAGCAATTTCATGTCGCAGCGCTACAGCAATAAGTACCTGGATGCCGAGAAATATGAGAACAATTTTATGTCATTGAATTATTTGGTGTACGAGTTGTGGCCCAAGATTCTGAAGGAGGAACGTGAGCTTGCCATAAAGCAAATGTCCGAAAAGGATGCCCTTAAGAAGCAACTGCATGACCGGAAACTCGACAGTCTCGATTCGTTTGGCAGTCATAGTTCAATCAAGCGCTCGACTTGCAAGGAGTCATCCTCGGTGGGCACAAACTACAAACTGCACTTCACGGGAAGATATGTCAGCCCAGTGAGAAGTGCCAAAATGAAAGATATGATTGACAGACTGACATAATAAGCGACTGGGATTCATTTTGTTTTTTATATAAAATTGTAAAATTTACACCGAATTGGACTGGTTGCGAATAAATTATGTCGAGTGCTCTAGCACTTGGTGGTAAGAAAAAGACTTAACGATTAACTCGTGTTTCTTTTTCTTTTAGATTTCAAAGCAATCTATTCATTTTGAGTATGTTTTGAAGCATTTGTTTTGTGTTACTTTCAGAGCGTTGAGTTTTCGGAACAATTTACAGACTTTATTTTTTCGTTGTTATTTCGTAGTTATTGTTTTCGTTCTTTCTTTGGGGGTTTGACTTTGGATTAGTTCCTAATGGATAATATTGTTGTGCCGCCGTATAGCAAGAAAGTGCTAATTGGCAATTGGGTCGATCGTCGCTATGCGTTCGATGAAAAGACCAGCGGCATTTTGCCAGGACTGAGTCCATCCGATAAATGCGAGAAACTTCGCTCACTCAGCCAGGATACCTATACCAATGCCGGCTTTTCGGGCTTAGATTGCAAGCAATATTTCAAGGAGAAACACGTGATGCGTGTTCGCAACTTTTACGCGGGCACCACATCGAATGTTAAGTTGATGGACACTACGGAACTGAAGGAAAATTATACAACTACCAACACATTGGTCTTCGACCTGCTGCCCAGAATACGTGAGGAGCTGCATGCTATGAAGGCTCAGCCGGAGCGCGGCATACCCGAGCCGCAGCAGAATGTGGACATGCTGCAGTGCTTTGGCAATCGCACAAAGACCCACGACTATGCGAAGCATTTCAAGTGCCAAAGGCAATATGAGGAGTCGCTGCGCATGCAGACCACATACGGCTCTGCCTATAATCACTGCAAGTAGCCCAATCGATCAGTCGACAAAGCAATTGGCCAAATTATCAATAAAGAACCAAGCTGGGAACCCTACAACATAGCTGTGAAGCCAGCTGGCGACAATCCAAGCTAATGCTTCACAGCTAGCTCCACAGCTGTATTGTTGAGTTCATAGCACCTACACATATCCACACACTTTCCATCGATCTTTCATTTGTCGAGTGCTGATTTTGGTTTTGATTTATTTGCATTAGTATATAGTATATATAGCTCACCTGACTTCTCGCAATGGAACCTTGTATAGAAATTATGTTTACTCCGGCTAAAAACGGAGTCAGTTTTCATGTCAGCATTTTGATTATCTTTTGAAATATATCTCAGTCTGATTTAGGTTTAACGATTCAGTCGTTCGTCGTTTGGCTAATCCACGTTCCAGCTCGAGACTCGGGACACGTCTGGAAATGAGACAAGGTAGATTTTCAGGAACTCTCTGCTAGATATACAAAACTTGTGTCTTGCTTTAGGGTCAACAAATGAACATGTTTCCAGTCTGTTTTTTTTTTTTTTTTATATTACAAGATTCAATTTATTTCATTTTCCATGTTCTTGTATAATAATTTAAGTTTTTATTTTCGTAATTTAAGTAGTTTCTATTTTTGTTTATTTTGGATGCCAGAAATTCATTGAAGTTCCATTCGAATTTTTAATTTTATATATGTTTTTTTATTTTTTTTTGGTTGCACATGCTGTTGCATTTCTTGCTTAGCTTTTTTTCATTACTTTTCTTTTGAAATTAGTAGGTCGATTAGACGTTTACAATACTTTTGCCATGTTATATAATATATATGTCTTTAATATTAATAATTATTACAAAAAGTAAAATTTGACGACATTAAACTAGACGACGTTTTGCATATGTTATACTCGCTTAAATATTTTACTTTTGCCTTGCTTTGTTTTTGTGTGTGTGTGTGTGTTTTTTTTGTCATGTTTTTTGCCTTAAAATCGTATGCTGGAGTAATTTTGGACAATTGTTGACTGCCTGGAAATTGTTGTTGTTGTTGTTGTTGTTTTTACTTTGGCTGACGATTACATTATTAAAATTATGCTTAAAATCTAAACCAATGGAAAGAGTTGTGGGCGTGTCTTGTGGCTTGTGGGTCTTGAGTGTTTCGTGTTCTTAAGTCTTTTTTAGGTGGTCAAAATTTGCAGTGTTTGCTTGTGTGTGTGTGTGTGTGTGGGTGTGGGTGTGTGTGTTTTGTGTGTGTGTGGGTGGTTGGTTCTGGTTTGATAAGTAGAATTTTCATCAGTGTGGGCATTTATGTTAATGTGTTGTTATTTAAGAAGTGTGCTGATTATATGCTCATATATAGCTTTTGTTTTGGTTTTTGCTTACAACAATTAAAATTTTGAATTTCCATTTTGTTTTTTTGTTTTTTTTTTTTTTGGTATTTTTGTTTTGTTTTGTTTTTAGTATATTTCCGTTGTATTTTTTGAGATTTTATATAGTATATACTTATTTAGCTTTTGTGTTGTGTAATGATGTTTTCTTGCTTGCTTTCGAATTTTCCATTTTTCCCCCATTTCCGGTCAAAAATTCAAAATTGTTTAATATTATCGTTTTTTGTTTTCGCGCTTACTATAATTTAGTAATATTTTTAATTTTAATACCTAAAGTATTTTATTTTAAGTATTACTTAAATGTTGCTGAATTTTTGTTTTGTTTCCGCGTTATTTTAATTTGTTTTTTTTTGTTTTTTTTTTTTTTTTAAATACTTTTGTAACTTTTTT